GCTCAGGAGCGAGTGAACTTTGTCATCCACTTTCAATTCAGCAACTAAGAAAGTTGGGAGACTGAAATTTTGCAAGCATATTCCTACCCAATGTTCACTTTCCCGCTTTAAATTCATCATTTAAACGCGCCAGATCTCGCATGCGGACCCCGAAAAAGAGATAAATTTTAGCAGGAAAGCGATCTCGGGAACCAGACAAGACAGAAAACTGTTTTTGCTATTAACAATCTGACTGCTGCAAAATTTAGCGCAGAAGACATGATCGCACTGGCAAGCCTGGTGCGTTGCAGCCTGGGCAGAAGCCTGTTAGCACGTTTTCCTGAATAACCCACAGTGTTAAAATGCACATAATTTATAATGTTGGATTCTGATTTTGAAATAAGGCAGAGTGTACTGCTCAGCATTTTCAAGGAGACGATATAAGACTTGATATTAGTGATGCTAGTGGGATGCACTCGTATGTCATACACAGCATCTCTGTCAGATCGTTCTATGCCAAGTGCACTTTTTCTTGTTAGTGCCAGCCAGTTGTTCTGATCTGCGTGATCACTTTCTCAGAGACTGCCTGGTCGGTCTCGTGGGTATCACTCCTATCAGTGCCACGCAAGACGTCTACGCTTCTCATCATATTGTTCATCACTGATTGTATCAAACTCAGCTAGGTTTGTTATTCGCATTTGAAAAGTATATTTTAATGTTGTATATATCTCAAGGCATTAAAATCATTGCTGAGTAATGCGCTGATCGTTTGTGATTTTTCGAGTACTCAGTCTAGATTTAGGCTTATATTGCAACTCAAGAATGAAAAAATCCAGAAATTTTGTGCTACTATAACTCACAGGTAAATAAAAGTGTTTCTTAAGCTTCGTTTCAAGCACAAGTTTAGCCTGGTGTTATAATTCTGAACAAGAGGAAGAGGATTTTTTGGTCTTTTGGGATGCGGAGTGGAATCGGTCTTGCATGCCCTTACATGCTCCGATCTGTGCATCAGGACTGTCAAGCCAATATACAGATAAACAATTAATCACAGAAACGCATGCCAGTGTTGATTTAAACGTGCCATCGCTGCTCATTTCGGTAAATTTGATTTTTCACCAAATGAGTGGCTTACAAATGAGCACCTGCTTTTTGGCTGTGTGCTGGCAGTTGAGCTATTTCAAGGACCATATTTCTCATACAGAGTGAATTGCAGGAAGGGGCAAGTATAGGCTTCTATTTTTATGCGTTTTGTGTGCAACTCATATTGTCGAGATCCTGTCTAATGTTTGTGTGTTTGGATTTTTGTCGGTTTTTCTACTAAGCAACCGAAAAAGCTATTAAGGAAGCCGAAATTTTAGGAAGATATCCCCGGCGTATGTAGAATTAACAGCTAGCGTCCGCTAGCGAGAAACGCGCAAAAAGCATGATCGCACCGACTACTCTGGGCTGTGCCGTTTATCTATTCTTCCTGGAAAGAAGCTGAAAAATTTGGAATTTTCATGAAACACGGGGTTTCTTATCGAAGAAAGCAATCTTTATTTCACAAACAGGCACAAAGCTGGGCGTAGAAAAAAAGTCATAATGCAAGCAGTTACTAGCAGCTGCAGTGAACATGAATATTGGTTAAAAAGGCACATATTAAAACACCGGTAGCAAAAGTTAAAGGTTATACGGTTAAAGCATTGATTAAGTAAAAAGAAACTACGAACGTAAAAGTTAAAAGCCCTTTTTCGTTGAGGACGGACTGAGAATGTGAAGAAACAGAAACAAGTAAAACCATGCTACGAACTAAAAAACAAAATGTTCATGGTCGCAAGTACGAATTCCCGAATGAAATCCAAAAAATCTTTTGTGTTTCTCAGTTTCCAGTGTGCATCAAGATTCCGTTTTTTTTTAAATAAATTTTTAATATGGTATCAATGCGGCAAAAAACCCGCTTGAGGCAGAACGCGCACTGAATAATACTTCACAGTGCCTCCGTTATTAAGCTACATCACAAATCCGTATAGACAG